GCAGAGCCAGGAGTAACCCCTGAGCATCGGCTGGGTGTGACCCAAAAGGCAAAAATTAATTAATTAATTAATAAAAGGGTAGAATCTAAATCCTTTCTACCCACCAAATTTCACCATAAACTTCTCTAACAAGTTGTCTGTTTCTTTCACCTTCTGAAGTAGCAGCTGGTTCTCTGGGGGGATACTGCTTTATGTCAATAGTCACCGCCTTCTCTCCTCCCAATTCTAAATCGAGTGTTTATTAGTATTTATTAGCACCACTTATATTGGTTTATTGTCACCTGCTACTGTGAATACTACAATTTCTCCAAATTGTATCCTCTCTCCCAACACATTTTCAAGGCATTATATCTACTATATTTTTTCTGTATTACTACAACAGAAAAAAACTGCTGCTGAAGGTAATGTTTGCATCATTTATATTAATTATTTATTTGATCTTATTGCTCTTTTTTTGGTCTTCATATAATCAAGAATCAAATATATCTAAGATTCATTATATCTGAACTCCCATGTGTCAGGAGAGACTAGAGCTTAAGTGTTTTGAAATAGGTCACAGTTATTCCTCCTTGTAACTTCTTCACTGCCCTTGACTATGAATGATCTCATGTTCTCAACATTACACTACAAAGTGACCACACCACTTTTTTTTTATTAGAAAGTATCAAGGTCCTGATAAACATGGAACTAACATTAATTTGATCTGTGAGGAAATTTTTGTCATTGATAAAGTCTCCGAGCAAAGGGCCATAAAGAAATGTGGTTGAAAACAAAATCCCTTATTGACAATTTTTCAACTCTTGAAGTTTCCACTTATAAGAAGAAATCTCAGTGTAAAAAAAATGTGAAGGGTAGCTATTGTATTATTCCTGAAGACTATTAGGCTCAAGGTTACAAGTCAAGCATAATTCTGGCTTAATTCTTCCATTAAGACTAATCCTGTTTGTGTCAGGAACACCTTTAATAGAATGTCACTTCAAATCACTGAAACACAAAGACTGGTGTTGTAATTTACATTAACTACAAAATGAATACCCTTTCCAGGGGGACTCCTGAACATCCGGGAGAATCATACCACCTCCAAGATCTCACTGGAAGAAAAAGTCATTAACTTGGCAGATCTCCCACTTCCTCTGTGGTTTTGGACATAGGTCCTCTATTTTCTGAGGGCTATTCTAGATGTTGACTCAAGAAAGTAAACAAACAAATATCTATGATTTTGAACTGTTGTTAAATTTGAATTTCCATCTAAAATAGAGGATTTGGTGAATCTACCCAATGCTTAAATGAAGTCTGGGCGTTTCAGTGCTCCAAACAACACAGAATTATCTACATCTAGGAAGAACTCTTCAGTTGCTTTACTGCTTATATGCACCTGAAGAAATTGGCCCGAGTTAGTAGCTTTAAAACGGCACTGGTCCTAATACAGATTTGGAGATTGTGTATGTGATTTGCCACTGCCAGGAGATATGAGAAAATATAGCAGAGTGAAATTCATTAATAAAGCCTGAAAAAAATAATTTAAGGAATTAAATCTCTAAAAATCACGCTTCATAGAAATATCATTACTTCTCAGGAACAAATTTATTATGTTTATAAGAAGATAAATTGATAGTGCCTGTCGGTGACAAGAATGAACCTGATGATAACTCTTAGTTATAAATTGATTGCAGGAATGATTGGAGTGTATAGAAATCAATATTAAAATGGATAATAGAATTTGTCACATATCCTACATATTTCCTTGGCAAATTTTCCACTTAGAGGTAGGGCAGAACTGGGCATTCTTTGCAAGTCATTTTTGCTTCTGAAATGAGTGCAGCAAAGCTTTGAGTTCAGCACCTCTGAGGTTTCCACTCTTAAGAGCTCAGTTTCCCAGACCTCAAGATGAAGAAAGGAAGTGAAAGAAGGCAGAGCTATACTTGAATCTGTCTCTAGTTCAACAGAGCACTAAAGCAAGGCATACTGTTAGCTGTATGAAGGTCAATTCAAAAGTAGTTAAAATAACTAGGTAGAATTAAGTTATCTCTTTAAGGGGGTAACCCCAAAAATGCAAAGTGTGAGTAGAAGTTGGCTAATGAGGTACGTGGTGAAAGAGAGTCCAATACCTCTTAATGCCTGCTACCTTCACTGCGGGATTATTTAATTTTGCCACTTTGCCATCCTCATACTCACTTGTCTGGTTCCTCTCTCTGTCCCCAGGCCTTCCCAATCTTGCTCACTGGTACAGATTGAAGAATGGAAAATGCTGGTCTTGAGGCCAACATCACTCATACCAGACTCATCTTGGACTAAAGCTTCTCTGGTCTTCATCTGAAGTGCAGCCCGGATTCTTCATTTTAAGAGCAGCAGATTATTCTCATTAAACTAGGAAAAAATTACTTTTCATTTTCTTCCCACCAAGCCTTTTCCCAAGGACTAATCATTTGACCTTTTCCGGAGAGCTATTTTCCCAAATAGCTTAGGAACAAAATGGTCACACTGAATTTTTTGTTTTCTCAGTTGAATGCCTTAGCAATCATACAGGGGAATATATCAAACAGTAAGGGTGGTTGGCATTTAGAAAAGCAGGCAAGTTCCTCCAAGGGCCCAGTGCTACACAACCTGCTGGTACCAGGGGTGTGCCCAAAAGCAGGCTGAGGTATCCTGGGAAGGGTTATCAAATGACACCCTCTTTGCTGAAATCTTTGAGTGTGACATGGATGCTCTGTGTCTTTGGGCATTTTAGGCATCTCCAAGAGGTCATGATGACTTCTTGGGTGACCCTTTCTGGGTCCATAAATTACTCAGCTTAAGTACTCTGCTTATGACAACGGAATCAGCCCTTATTATTCACAAGCCCCGTCCATGGCTGTCTGTGTAGGCATTTGTATTGCTTCACTGGTTCCTGAGGTCAATTGATTATCTGAGTGACCTTACAGTGGAAAGACCAGGACCACTCTGTCTTGCATCCCAGGGTCTTCTTAGACATGCTGTCCTCGGAGAACAAATCCTCGCTGCTGTCTCTTCCAGAGAAGCTTCTGGAAAGACATCTTTACAAAAGAAGACAGACACTTGTATCTGTAGCTTGCAGGAGCCCAGGTGGTGGGGAAGGAGTGTGGGAGCTTCCCCCAGACTCCTGTCCTTTCAAGCTTAGCTGAAGGATGGCACTAGGATTCCTCCTGTCTCTGAAACCCCCCCCCCCCCACCTGCTCATTCTTTCTATTGTAACCTTTAGTTTCAAAGTCAAGAGATTATTTTTTTAATCATCAGGGAGGAAAGAAATGGAACGTTTTCTTAATCTTTAGATGAAGGTGAGTTAAGTTGACTATTCGACCAAAAGATTCAGAGAGTGGCATACATTATGACTCCACAAGATGGGGGTAGTATCTAGAGAAAGGCCAGTCAAAAATGCATCTCCTCCCCAGCACACCTGATGACCTTTATTCCCTTCTCTGTATCACAAACCCACCCATGTCTTCCTCAGAGTGGCCCAACAGAACATCCTGCAGCCTAACCATGCATTGCCCTGTCATTTATAGCAGAAGTTTGCAAATGTTGCTCCCAAGAAACTCCCTGCTGTTTTATGAACAAGTTATTACCACTTTACACAGTATCTGGCTCATGTAAGGATACTATTCTAAAGCATTGATCTATTAGTATTCATTCTTCTAGTGATCACGATCATGACCATCCTGTTATTCGTCAATTGCCTCGAGCAGGCCCCAGTAACTTCTCCTTCGTCCTAGCCCTGAGATTTTTAAAAAGTGCCATATTCAAGGCTCTTTCAGAGTTAGGAGAATGAGACCCATCATTGTTACTGGTATTTGGCATATTGGGTACGCCATGGGGAGTTTGCCAGACTCTGCCGTGTGGGCAGGTTACATTCGGTAGCCTGCCAGTATGTCCAAAGTAGGAATGAGATAATAAGATGTGCAGCCGCGAATGCGGCCACACGCTTCTGGGAGCTGGGTTTTATAGTCTCTGAGTCTTGGCCGTTGATGGGATTACACAGCGCCAGGGGGCCAGTTGGTGGGTGTGACCCCTGCCTACTGGAATTTGGAGGTGGAGGATGCTCAGCCCCGATTCGAGTAGGCTGGGAGATCTTCGTCCTGGGACCCACATGCCTTTGTTCCTCTGCCGGTACCTTCATGTGTGTGGAGAGTGGTCTCAGCATGGTGGTGGCTGGTTCTGGAGGTCTTCTGCTGCTGGAGCCCTGGTTGAGGTGGGGAGGAAAACTCAACCCCCTCCAAGGGGCCCCGGTGAGGACAGCCAGGCACGGGGGCAGGAGACTCTGACTTCTTCTAGTGAAGTAAAATTATTTTACTTAGATATATCTTCTTAGAGAAACAACAAGAGAGGACAAAAGTGATGAGATGGAGCGATAGCACAGCGGTAGGGCGTTCGCCTTACAAGCGGCCAACATGGCCGACCTGAGTTCGATTCCTCCACCCCTCTCGGAGAGTCCGGCAAGCTACCGAGAGTATTCGATATGCCAAACACAGTAACAACAAAGTCTCCAATGGAGACGTTACTGGGCCCGCTCGAGCAAATTGACGATCAACGGGAGGGCCTCGAGATGGAAGTATTCAAAACAAAACAAGCTCCTTCAAAAGGGAAGTGACTGAGAGAACACATTTCAGACGGGACGCAGGAGTTCTCTAAGAGAGAGAATGCCCCAAAGAGTGTGACAGGAAGAGTTGAGAATGCACAGCTCCGGTAGAGATGTGGGCAAATCTTCAAAGTGGAGAACATTGCTATGTGAATATTCTAACTATAGCACTGTCCTCCCATTTTTCATTGATTTGCTTGAGTGGGCACCAGTAACATCTCCATTGTGAGACTTGTTGTTACTGATTTTGGCATATTGAATATGCCACGGGAAGCTTGCCAGGCTTTGCAGTGTGGGCGGGATACTCTTGGTAGCTTGCTAGGCTCTCTGAGAGGGGTGGAGAAATTGAACTTGGGTTGGCCGCATCAAGGCAAATGCCCTACCTGCTGTGATATCGCTCCAGCAGTGTATACTTACCTGGCAAGGGAGATACCATGATCACAATGGTGGTTTTCTCGAGGTGAGGTTAATCCATTGCACTATAGATGTGCTGACCCCTGCAATTTCCCCCAAATGTGGGAAACTCAACTGCAGAATTTGTGGTAGTCGGGGACTGTGTTTGCGCTCTGTCCTGGGGTTTTGGGGAAAATAAATGTTTAATGTCTGCTTTAGTGTTACATAAAATATTTCTCCTATTTCCTTCAGTTCATGGAAGCCCCTGTGTTGTGTTAAAAATGCTGATGTTTCTGGGCATCTGAAGGGAAGTACTTGGACTCCATCTTGTACATGTGTGCTGGAGAGTTCCCTGCTAGTTAATGCTCAGGACCATCATTCCCCAGGAGTAAATCCATAGAAAAAGAGCTGACTGGGAGCCCCACTCAAGCTTCCAATTGTTGCAAATCACCTGAACCTTTGTTCTTATGCCAACCATTGTAGGTAACTTGGATGAAGTGTCAAGCGTGGGAGGAAGCCTTGAAAAAGGAGAGTTTCTGCCTTTCTGCTCCACCCACTTGGGCACCAGAGGACATGCCTGGGAGAATTAGGTCTGGTAATATGTGGCACGGATGCTAGTCTTCCAACAGCAGCACTGAGCAGTCTTATACCTCAGCTGAAATCCACTTGATCTGCACGTCACAGAACCTCATCCCTACCCGTCCTGTTCTTGAGGAGCCATGGCCTCAGTGGAGTGAGAAATGGCTCTCTACATGCAAATAAAACCAGTCTTAACTTCTGTTGATACATGCCTCTCATAAAAGAATTTTATAAAGACATAATGAGTGCAATAAAATAGTGTTATAGATTTATTTATTTATTTAGAGAGGAGAAGGTGGGGGGTGGTCAAGACAGAATGGGAACTTCTCTAGAGAGGTAAGAGTTGCATGTTCACATCTCAAATTGAGATTCAGGCAATCCCAAGATGGAGAGGGTGTACCACTTGCCTTTGTACAGCTGGGTTTGTAGGGTTTTGGAGGCTCTCTTTATAGGAAAGCATCTGTGGATATGGTGCTGTCAAGGTCTGTTGATATAGTGCCTAGGATTCTCAATAAATTTTTGCATACAGTTATCGCTGACTTTTATTCTTCTTGGAGTTTCTCCTTTTTGAAGGGGAGGGGGTCCATTCTCCTCTTGGGTGGTGCCTCATTTGTTTTCTGCATCTCCAAAAAATCTCAGTATTTGCACTTCAAAGAGATGTGTTCTATATATCTTTAACTTTAACCATAAAACTGTGGTTACCTAAAGAGGGGAGTGAGATGAATTTGTCCAGAGGACAGTGAAGGATAGATATGGATGCTTTGGTGGTGGTTTAATAATATTGTAATCCTAAAACATATAAACATTTACACTCTGGTACGGGCTGGAGCTATAGCACAGCGGGTAGGGCGTTTGCCTTGCAAGCGGCCAACATGGCTGACCCGAGTTCTAGTCCTCTCCCCATCTCAGAGAGCCTGAAAAGCTACTGAGAGTATCTCGCCCGCACGGCAAAGCCTGGCAAGCTACCCGTGACGTATTCAATATGCCAAACACAGTAACAACAAAGTCTCATGATGGAGACATTACTGGGTCCACTCGAGAAAATCGATGAACAATGGGAGGACAGTGACAGTGACAGTGACACTCTGGTACGCCAATGTTTCCTCAGTTAAAGAATAAATTATATAGTTGGAAATTATCACTCTGGAAAAGAACTGAGTATTGAAAGTACATAAAGAGAAATACATGATAACCTTAAATTACCTATATTATAAACCACAATGCCCAAAAGGAGAGAGCAAGAGAGAGAGAGAGAGAGAGAGAGAGAGAGAGAGAGAGAGAGAGAGAGAGAGAGAGAGAAGAAAAGCGCCGGCCATAGAGGCAGGCTGTAGGGAGTAGAGTTGGGGGATTATGGGAGGAAAACTTGGGACACCAATGCTGGGAAATGTACACTGGTGGAGGGATAGGCATTGGAATACTGTATGACTGAAACCCAATCATAAAAAGCTTTGTAATGCGGGCTATCTCATGGTGGTTCAATAAAAAGTAAAATAAATAATGAATTACAGGAGCTGGAGCCATAGCACAGCGGGTAGGGCATTTGCCTTGCACGTGGCCAACCCAGGTTTGATTCCCTGCATCCCATATGGTCCCCTGAGCACCATCAGGGGTAATTCCTGAGTACAGAGCCAGGAGTGACCCCTGTGAATCGCCGGGTGTGACCCAAAAAAGCAAATAAATAAATAAATAAATAAGTTACAAAGCAGCAAAATCCTCTCCTTCCCTAATTGCATCTTTTGTGCCATCCTGCAGTGCTCCGTCCTTACTCTCTCTAATTCAATTCTACCTTCTCTGTCAAACTTAGGAGCAAGTTGCCACTTGCCCAGGAATCTTTTACTTGAGGACATCTGGATGCGTGGTGCCATTATTCATCCTCAAAAAACACAGATAGGGTCCCATTATCTAAATCTTATTTGAGGAGTGCAATCAAGTTATTTTAAGCTGATAGGATTTGCTTCCCAGAATAGACATCAAATTTGTGGCAAGTTTCTGTCTGAAGAAATCTTTTTTCTTTTTTGCATTCCCCCAGGGAAGCAGTAAATCATCCATACATTCCACTTGCAAATTCCTCCCACTTTTGTGGCCAGATGGGTAGATGAATGATTCTGCAGAGCTAAAAATGGGATCACCTGTGGCTGACAGTGAATAATGCAGGGTCAAAAAGGAAGAGGGAATATCAATATTTGAGGGAACCCAAACCCAGCACCAAATTAAAGACTCTTAGTACGTTTTTTGGCTCAATTGTTGAGTTTTCAGGAAGTGGTCCCTCCATAAACCAGATATTTATGTTGTCCCCGTATTCTGGACCTATCTGTGCCTTTCATCATAATTGATCCAATATTTATCATTGTTTGTATTACAAGTCTCCTGTTTGCTATGAGAATAGAGAATTCATATTTTAGTAAGGAAAATGTTAAAATCACACTTTGTGTGGCCACCTAGATATAATCACTATGAAGTTGTTTTCATAAACTGTCATTTTTATATGTGTATTTAAAATATGGATATAAGATTACATTACATATCACGTTTCGCAATTTATTCTCACCTAATTTATTGTGAGCTTCATTTTAATGGACATTCATTTTTCCATGTATCTATATAATACCTGATTGACAAAAGTCTTTGCTCCCCTATTTTCAGACATTGAAGTCTCTTTCATTGTAACAAATGATCTCTTCCAGGAGATAATTTTATATATATATTTTTTAATTATCCCTAAAATAGAAAGTTCTGTTGAAGGACATGGATAAATTTAAAGAAGTGTTATTGCTGAATGGCGCTCTGTATCACTAGTGATGAGCAGAAGCGAAACAGCGTTTGCCACCATGTAACTACTATAACAAAGCATAAACTATCAAATTTAACAAAATATTGGAGAAAATACCTTGACTTTTCTATAGCTCATTCTTCTCCTTTCAGGAGGAAGAGGGTTAATCTACTTAGTCTAAGACTTCTTCCACTAGTAGTCAGGGCCCGGGCTTCAAAGTCAGATGTGGGTATCGTGGGCATCTTTCCTGATGTTATACTTCCGCATTCAGTGTGTGGCTCTGGGCCTGGCCATTTATCCTGCTGCCTTAGCACCAGCCCTACTTGCAGCTCAATTTGTCAGACTGTGACCGAGTCCACGGGTGACTTAAAAACATAATTCTTTTTTTTGGCTCCAGATCTTGTGGTTGGGTGAGTAAGTGGAATCAAGTTCAAAGGTTGGAATTTAGGCAATAAGAATTCTTACCCAAGACTCCTGAGCCAAGCCAAGGTCTCAGTTTGTTGTAGTGTGCAGTATTTATGTAAGTGATGGAAGCAAGAATAGGATTAGTCATTACCCAAATAATAAACTAGTATTCTATTTTGTCTTTTCTTTGTGTGCATTCTCTACTGTTAGTGAAACTAAGAGAGTGAAACAGCTGATAAAATATAGCCTACTTTCTTCAAAGAACTGTGGGTATAAAAAGGACTCAGGATATTATCATGTATAGCTGTCATGTTTTTGATGAGAAGATTTGAATGTTGTGGTCAATAAGACAAATGTTTGCTTTGTGATTCCAGCCCTTAGTATCTTGATTAGAAAGGATATATTCGGGGCTGGAGTGATAGTACAGGGTGTAGGGCATTTGCCTTGCACGCGGCCAACCCGGGTTCGATTCCCAGCATCCCATATGGTCCCCTGAGCACCCACAGGAGTAATTCTTGAGTGCAAAGCCTGGAGAAACCCCCGTGCATCACTAGGTGTTACCCAAAAAGCCAAAAAAAACCAGAAAAACAAAAACAAAAGTTTATATTAACCTAAATATAAGCCCACATATCACCATTTCATCTTGAAATAACCTGATTCTTTATTTTCAGTTATTGATGGAGCTTAAGGGGGCTCTTAAATTATTATTTCCCCCAAAGTTTAACCATTTACATTTTATTTAATGATTATTCTCCCAATATCTATTCTTAGGTCTCCTCCTAATCTCTCTTCTTTCCTCTTCATCTACTTGCTCATCTTGTTGTTTGAGCTAACTCAAAACATTCTACTGGTATTATCAACACTAACAGTTCCATATGTGGAAAAATAAGAAAAAAGATTCACCCTAAGAGAAAAAAAATTAAGGGAAACATTTTCTTCTATGTAGAAAGATAGATTTAGAATACTGCAAAGTCTTCTGAAAGAGGGAATGGACAGACTTTAAACTGTGCTGAGAGTCACTATGACATAAAACGTAGCATGACCATGAGACAGAGTTTGGCTCTAAGTGACTTAAGTAGAAGGGAGAGTCTCAAGAACCAGCAGGTAGAAGCTCATGAATTTCCCAGGGGAAAAGAGTTCCCATGACTCTAAGCTTGCACTATTCATTACTAGAGATAGTTTACTCCTCTCACACTGACATAGGGACCAGTCTCTCACAGCCAGAACTTGACCTGAGATTTGAATTTTACCTACTCTCTTTTCTTTGATTTGGCCTCAGTGAGCAGATTCAGAAAAAGAGCGTGCCAAGAGGGACACAATGGAAAAGCTTCAGGATGCAAGTGCCTGTTCCCTTAGTAGACATCATTGTCCACTTTTTTTTTATTTTTAATTAATTTATTTATTTATTGAATCACCATGGGAAAGGTT